CATTTTCAGATCATCTTTTTTGGCAAATGTATCTTGCCTCCATCCAATTGTAAAATAATACTTAATGCATCTTTTTCAAGCAACAAGGCAATAATTCTTTGGTGAGACGGAGGGAGATTCCAGAGTGCATCTTGCTGGTAACCCAAAGGATCACCAAGTACCCAGTACTGCTGGAGAGGATCTTACAATACACTAAAAGTAAGTCATCTACTGCCCTCTGCTGGCAACATGGCCATGTAGTCCCCAAAACCCAGCGCTTGTCAAAAATAGCACAATATACAATATTTTGGTTGTAAATATACAAGTAAACCTTGATGATATTTTTCATTCTTTGAGTATTTCTCCTTCTTGGTCACTCAGAGGAAACGGAGGAGCATGCTGACCTTTCAAAAGCACTGACTCAGATCCGGGAGGTGATAGCAGCTGTGGACTTGAGGGTCAGTGAAAACGAGCGGCATCAAAGGTTACAAGGCGTGTGGAACCGCATGGAGAACCGCAGCTCAGCCAAGCTGAAAAACGGACATACCTTCCGGAAGCAGGACATGATGGGGCCGGGACAAACGCTCCAACACCAGGGCCTGCTCCTGTGGAAGACTGCCACTGGTCGACTAAAAGGTGCGACTGACAAACAGTGTACTCTCGTTTTTAATACTGTTGATTTGCGTCTCTTTTACATGACAGAAAGAGACAAAGTGGTGACATGATAACATTTTCCTACCTCTCCTCACCTCTGCAGACGTCCTGGCGCTCCTCCTCTCTGACACACTCATCTTCCTACAAGAAAAAGACCAGAAGTATACATTTGCCACAGTGGTACGTGCACATGAATTGCATCAGGTTGAGCTCATGAGACCAGTACCCAGTAATCAAAATGTTACATCCTGAAATGAATTATTTTAAGTTGGGCCATTATCACCTTATGTAAAATAATATTTCCCCACTTTAATGTGCTCCAGGACCAGAAGCCTCCAGTCATCGCACTGCAGAAGTTAATAGTGCGAGAAGTAGCAAATGAAGAGAGAGGTATGTTTCTGATCAGTGCATCAGCCGCTGGGCCAGAAATGTATGAGGTCCACACATCATCCAAAGAGGAAAGAAACACCTGGATGAGGCTCATTAGAGAGGCTGTAGAGAGGTGTGTGTATATATCTGTATGTTATGTGTGCATGCAGGGGAAAAGACAGATAGTCAGAACAAAATCTTCTGACTTCACCTTCTGCAAACAGTTAGTCTAACATTTCTTTAACTGTTTTTTCTGCTTAGCTGTCCGGAGGAGGAAGAAGAAGATGCAAGTGAATCTGAAGAGGAGAAACGAGCTGCTGAGGCCCGTATGCAGAAGATCTATAAGTTACAAGGTACGTGGAAGCTTGCGACAGCAAATACTTATTATTTTTAATTCATAGTCTAGAAGGTTTAGATAGATAGATAGATAGATAATCCTTTATTGTCATTGTAACAATGACAATAAAGGAGAAACGAGCTGCTGAGGCCCGTATGCAGAAGATCTATAAGTTACAAGGTACGTGGAAGTCTGTGACAGCAAATACTTATCATTTTTAATTCATAGTCTTGAAGGTTTAGATAGATAGATAATCCTTTATTGTCATTGTAACAATGACACACACATACACACGCACAGGCATATTATATTTTGAGTGTGGTAACTGCTGTTGGGTAAAAACTATTCCTGAATCTAGTGGTCTTTGATTTAATTGCTCTGAACCGTCTACCTGACGACAGCAGGTCAAAGAGTGAACGTCCTGGGTGTGAAGTGTCCTTAATGATGTTCTGAGCTTTTCTGAGGCATCAGGAACTGTGTAGTCCTTCCAGAGTGAGGTCCTTCCAGAGTGAGGAGAGGGCAGCCGACGATCTCCTGAGCCCTATTAATGCGTTTTCCTCTGACCCACTGTGCTGCTACTGTACCATACACATATACAGTATGTAAGGATACTCTCAACAGAGCACCAATAGAAGGACGCCAACAGTCTCTGGGAGATGTTGTTCTTCCTGAGCACCCGTAGGAAGTACAGTATCTGCTGGGCCTTTTTAAGCAGTTTAGAGGTATTCACGCCGCAGGTCAGATCCTCCTTAATGTTGACTCCCAGAAAGCGGAAGGCCAGCACCCTCTCCACACGGTCTCCACTGATATACAGTGGCAAGATGTCAGTTTTCTTCCTCCTGAAGTCAACGGTGACCTTATTTATTACACCTGAGTTAACATTTATGAACTTGTATCTTGATCAGAGAATTTGATGAGCCAGGATCAGCAGATCTGCTCCAGCCTGGAGGAGAAGCTGCAGATTTACACAGAGCTCTCTGCTCTGAGCGGGATGATGAAAACTTCGCTAGTCGAACCGCGACTGCTCGTCCAGCCGCACTCAGAGGAGCTGCCCCAGGCTGCTGTGCTGCTGGCTGCAGCTCTGCAGGAGGGTGAGAACAAATACAAACACATGCATAAAAAGAGTAAGATTCATTGCCTTCATGCAGCTGATTTTATTGACAGTTGTAGTTTATTTTCTTTTGGTGAGGGAGTTTTTAACTATTATTGATGCTTTTGAACTGGTGCAGTGTGTGTCTGGTCCTACACATGAGCGGGGACACACGCTGGACCCTGTTGTCTCGTATGGTGTGCCTGTGACTAATTTAAATATTTGTACGAATGTTTTTTCTGACCACTTGTCCATTGTTTTTGAGGCGAAACTGTTTTGTGCAGGTGGTGGCCTGCGGGCGCCTGCCTGGCGCTGTCGGACACTGAACCCTTCCACTGCCGATCTGTTTATCACGGCGTTTGAACAGGCAATTGCGTGCACTGACAAGGCTGGTGGGGATACGGAGGGGCTTAGCGCTTGGTTTCAATCCTCTTGCAGCCTTATACTGGACTCTGTGGCCCCGATGAAAACTGTGCTGCCTAAGACTAGGATGGAACCCTGGCTTGGCACTAGAACTCCTGTGGCCAGACAGATGTGCCGCAGAGCCGAAAGAAGGTGGAAGAAGGGTGGACTGCAAGTTTCACTGCAAATTTTGAAGGACTGTTGGCGCAATTATCAGAGGACTGTGGAAGAAGCCAAGTGAGAGTATTTGTCCAGTATTGTTGTAGCTAATAGTCATGATTCATGTGTATTATATAGAACAATTGGGATGGTGTTAAATCCCCCGCAGCCTGTCTGTCAGGAAGCAACGGTTGAACTATGTAATAAGTTTTTAGCTTATTTTAATGAGAAGGTTGCTACTACAAAGGCTTTTTGTGGTAGGGTTAGTGCCCGATCCTTCGGTCTTTACTCCTTGTTTGACTACTTTTGATGTTTTTGAGCCGGTAACTCTGACTTTTTTGGAGGGAGTGGTTGCCCAGGCCAAGCCTTCTGGCTCCCCTCGAGATGTCGTTTCTCCGGCTTTATTTAAGGAAGTCTTCCCATGTATTGGAGGCACGATCTTGGAAATTATTAATAGTAGTTTATCTTCTGGTGTTGTGCCTGGTTATTTTAAGCATGCAGTTTTACAACCTCTACTCAAAAAGCCACGTTTGGATCAATCCATGTTGAGTAATTTTAGGCCTATTTCTAAGTTACCTTTTATCTCGAAGATTTTAGAAAAAGTGGTCTATGTGCAGGTGAAATCCTTTTTAGATGACAATAATTTATTGGAGGCTTATCAGTCTGGTTTTAAACTCATGCATAGTACAGAGTCAGCCTTACTAAAGGTTGTTAATGATATTTATTTGGCCACTGATGCAGGGGAGTATGTGATTCTTGTCCTG